AGCAGTAGAAGGAACTGTTGGCATAAATGGGGGCGGAGGTCATGAGTAGTGATGCATACATTTACAGGATTAGGATATCAGAAGGGAAAGAAGCTTTGAAGAGGCTGAAGATAAGAAAGGCTTTAAAACCAAATTGTATCCTGATAGAGGTTTGAAAATGCATGGGAGAGATTGGCATTTATTGACTGACCAAGTTATTCAACAAGGTGTTGAGAATAAAGAAAATGCTAGATGAATGGACGAAAAGTAGTTTGGTACCTATTTACATGAATAAATGAGATATAAAGAATTGTGTGAACTATTGAGGGATCAAACTTATGAGCCACACTATGAAGCTGTGGGAATGAGTGACATGTCTGGATCCGTTTTATGGTCGGATCCAGGATGGTGCAATCTACCCGATTCTGGATCGGTTTACCGATTTTTTAAACACTGATTGTGAGCATTAAATTGACTTGGACGGTTGAATTTAGATGGTTGGACGCCTAACCAGATCCCATGAACAACGCTACCACAATGGTTACACTTTCACATACTTTTATCACCTTGATTAGGTATCTTTATTTCAAAAATTATTAAATGACGAACACAATGGGAAGATAGCAATAGAAGGAACTGTTGGCATAAATAGGGGGGCGGAGGTCATGAATAGTCATGAATACATTTATAGGATTAGGATATCAGGAGGGAAAGAAGCTTTGAAGAGGATGAAGATAGGAAAGGTGTTAAAATCAAATTGTATCCTGATAGAGGTTTGAAAATGCATGGGAGAGATGGGCATTTATTGGCTGATCAAGTTATTCAACAAGGTGTTGAGAATAAAGAAAATGCTAGATGAATGGACGAAAAGTAGTTTGGTACCTATTTACATGAACAAATGAGATATAAAGAATTGTGTGAACTATTGAGGGATCAAACTTATGAGCCACACTATGAAGCTGTGAGTGAGTGTTTGAGCACTGACTAAGGCTTGAAACAAGTGTATCAGAAAACGACTTCGGTTTTATACTAGGGAGGTCAACAACTAAGGCTATTTTCTTACTTACGCAACTGATTAAGAAGTTTAGGGCGAAGGGAAAAGATCTCCACATGGTCTTTATTTATCCAGAGAAATCTTATAATAGAGTACCTCGAGCTCTGATTTGGTGGATGCTGGAAAAGAAAGGAGTCTCCAGACACCACATCGACTTGATGAGAGATATGTACGAGGGAGTGCTAATTAATATACGGACAACTAGTGTAGAGACAAGTGAGTTTTTAGTGATAATAGGTCTACATCAGGGGTCAACATTAAGTCCATACCTCTGTCTTAGTTATGGACGACTTAATTTACCTACAAGATAAGATACCGTGGTGTACGCCATATTGTTGATCGTTGAGACCCAAAATGACGTCAATAGAAAGTTAGAACTTTGGAGGGATGCTTTAGAAATTAAATGGTTTAAAATTAGTCGGACTGAGACAGAGTAGATGGAATGCTAGTTTAGTAATAATAGGAGTGGAGACGAGGAAGTAGTTAAGATTGACAGCTAAGAAATACAAACAAGAGCTCACTTTTGATATCTTGGGTCAATAATCTAGGAAAATGGAGAGATTGAGGAAGATGTCGTACATAGAATTAAAGCTGGGTGGGTGAAGTGGAGATATGCAACTAGAGTTTTATGTGATCATTACATACCAATGAAGTTGAAAGGCAAGTTCTATAGGATAGCTGTGAGACCATCTTTGCTTTATAGGGCGGAATGTTGGACGGTCGAGAAACAAGATATCCATAAAATAGGTCTATAGCTGAGGTGAGGATATTGAGATGGATGAGTGGCAAGACAAGAAGGGATATAATTCGGAATGATTACATTTTGGAGAACTCAAGTGTGGCACCAATATGAGATAAGATGAGAGAAAATAGACTTAGGTGGGCTAGCCATGTGTAGCATAGACCCAGTATAGCGCTTGTTAGGAGGTGCGAGTTAGTTCAAGTGGAAGGCCAAAAAGGGCAAGGGATAGGCCCAAATGGACATCGTTGGAAGTAGTGAGAAAACGATATGGGGACTTATGGCCACACACTAAAGAAATGGCCCTTAATAGAGCAGAACTGCGGACCAGGATTCGTGTACTTGACCCCAATTAGTTAGGAAAATGCTCTGATGATTATATTGATGATGATGATAATGATTAAGCCTCTTTATGCATTTTTGAATCCGACCTCCTCATTGTTTCTAAGAGGAAAGGTTGCTGAAGAAAGAGCAGATTGATCAACTCCTTGATGAAGCAGCATGACATTTTTTTGTCTCTCTTCATTTTGAACAAAGGAATACACTTGGTTAATTGGCCGAAAGGTATCTCTACTGAGTATTTGAACCCTGTCTAATTCAAAATCTAGGTTAAACCCGCAAAAAACTCAAAAGTATGATTTCGTTTGGCAAGCTCTTTCTATTTCTCACCAGCTATCTTACATGATGGTTTGAACATTTGATAGTCACTTCTTGAAGAATATTAAGCGAGATACCTCTCCCCCTGTTGAAGATGGGAAATTTATTGACTCAGTTGATACGCTCGAGCCACATTCTTGCTTTGAGAGTAAGTTTGATATATGGAGTCCCAAATCTCTTTTGAAGTTTGAAGAAACAAAAAACCCTAATAATTGATGGCTGCATCGGGTGTAACAACCAATAAATAACTGTCAGATTTTCAATTTCGCATTTCTCATGTACTAAATCTATTTCTTCGGGTTCAGTAATCTTACCATTGATATACACCAACTTTCGTCTTCAATCGATGAATATTTTAGCAGATTACGACCACTTTAAATAATTTTTTCCATCAAGTTTGACAACAGTAATATGCAATCCAAGGTTTTCGCAGTAGATATCCATATGGGAGGTAACACCTGGAGTACTATTGAAGGTGGAAGAGTGCCCTAAATCACTCAGCTTAGACATATTGGCCACACATAGCCTGAAAATACAAAGGGACTCTGATCAACACCACCAGCCACTCAAAAATACTTTGAAATGGATTTGAGATCATTCGTACGTGGGATCTCCAAAACAACTGAGTTTCACAACTTAGAAACAATGATTTGATCTATAAGTGATCCCAGGTCTAACAACAAACATTAACATCATCGAACCATGACAACCATATCTGGGGTTTATGATCCCACATCAAAAGCTTGACGAAACAACCATGAAACTTGGGGTTTTTTTTTTTATTTCAGACCTTTTCTCAGTTTTAGGGTTTCGAACCCCATTTTTTCTTCGCAGATCTAGGTTTTTTTGGTTATACAGCTTTGGAAGTCCTTCGTATGGCCTAATTACATTTTTAGGGTTTCATGAAGCTTCTTGATTCCATACGAAGTTAAAATACAACAAGAAATAATGAAAGAGGAGAAAAAGAGAGAAAATGAGACGTTGAGAGAGGAAGAAAGAGGGGGTTTCGTTAGGTCATACTGACCTCCATTACATCTCATATATATTAGCTATAAAAGTTTAAGTACTATACGAGAATGCTCTTCTAGTAGAAAGAAGGACAAATAAGTCCTCAGAGACTTAAAATACAATTTAATAATGACTAAGCCTTCACTAATCACTCTCACGGCGAAGATATGCATATACCTCCTCAAGGAGACTTACTCCCTAGGTAAGATATGGGTAGACCTCCTCTAGCTGATATAATTGGAATACAAAACACTTCCCATTGAAGGAGGCCATAATTTAGATGTGGAAATTGAAAATACAAATTTAAATGTGGGCATCTTGGTAGTTGTTGCAAATGTTTCTGAAGTGTCCACTCTATTTCCTTGATTAAAGCCTTTGGTCATCAGTCTTTCTTTATAGCTATTGATGCTATCTTTTGAGTTCCACTTAATATTTGCATCATTTGCAGCTCTCAGTTTTATTTCTATCTAGGAGTATAGCCAATTCATGTTATTAATCTGGGTTATATATATGATTATTCTCCCATTGCATCCTGCTAACTAGGTTGAGTGACACCTTTTGGAACCTCTTGGGTTCATTTAAGCATGAAATAAGAGCATGTGACACACTAAGATGAAGAGCAAAAGTACTTAGAAATAGATCTTTGGGGTATTTGATGTGAGTGGGCTCTTGAGTTTCAGTTTGTAACAGAGAGATTCAGGGGATGCTTTTTTTATTCCTTTTTGAAGATGACTATTCCTAATTCTGAGCAGACGAATCCAAAGCGGCTACCATTTGTCTTTGACAGCAGTATGTATGAATCCAAGAATCTCCTATTGAATTATCCCTTTTCTAATAATCATGGCTTTCTGCAGTTTTAAGACCCTGCTGTCAGCATTTCTTGAAAACATTCTAGTTGCTTCTATAATTATGCTGAGAATTGATATGTTCATCCATTATAGGCATTGTCTCTCTCTTCATTGAATTTTTCATTCTCCTTCCTACAAATCTCTAATCCAACAGGCCTTGAGATAATATTCTTTTTTGGTTGAATCATAGCATTGATTAACCTTTTAAATGAGTACAAATAATATATAAAAGTACGCATCATAAAGGTGGTACTTATATCTTTTTCAGATTCTATGTAAGCTGAAAGTTAAAACACTCAAACACCCAAACTTGAGTGTACTTAGACATTTGGATACTTATCAATGATATGCTGAGTTTGTTTTGGCATGATCAAACAGGTTGCAACCAATATTTGATGCGGTTCAATGTTGTTGTACACCTAGTTTAAATCTTTCTGTGTGAGTGGGTGCTTGCGTGCTTGCACGTGAGTGCGTGCATGTGACTTGTCACCTATGGTATATGGGAGTGAAAGTGTTCCGGTTTTTGTATCTCCAGGCAAAATTTCTTATGTACTGAAACTACATTTTAGTGGTATACTTTGAGAATTAAAATCAAGCCAATAATTGTATGAACAATTTGACTTAATTGTTCATGGGAAGCATTTTGTTCTCTTTGCCTCGTGGAATTAATTTAAAGCTTTCATTACCAACGGTAGTAAATCAATGTACATTTCAGATATCCGGATGATCCTTTTGACAGAATATGGGAGTCTGACTCCATTAGGAAAGCAAATTTTCTTGTTGATGTTGCTGCTGGAACTTCTAAAATATCAACTACAACGCCGATTAATGTTAACCGAGATGAGAGACCTCCAGAGAAAGTGATGCAAACTGCTGTTGTTGGTCGGAATGGACTGTTGAATTATCGGTTGAACTTGGATGGATTTCCAGGGTTTGGTTGGGCATTCTCGTACTTTTCAGAAATTGAAGATTTGGGTGCAAATGAGAGCAGGAAATTTAGGCTGAAGCTTCCAGGTTATCCTGATATCACCAAAGCAACTGTTAATATTCAAGAAAATGCGCAAGGGAGATACCGGTTATATGAGCCTGGATTTACCAACTTATCCCTCCCTTTTGTCTTAACATTTTCTTTTGGTAAAACAGCTGATTCATCTAGGGGTCCCTTGCTGAATGCCATGGAGATAAATAAGTATCTGCAGATAAATTTTGGTTCTCCTGATGGTATGGTGTAACAGGCTTTTTCTTATTCCTTTCGAATATCGAGCAAATGATGTATTTCTGAAATCTCCATGATTCAATTGCAGCATCTGTTTTTCAGAGTCCATTTAAACATTGAGAAACTGCCATATTATGTCTGAATTATCTTTTGTTTGGTTGCAGCTGCAGTTATTTCTGGTTTAACTTCACAATATCCTCAAGCTGATTGGGCTCAAGAAGGTGGTGACCCCTGCTTGCCAGTTCCGTGGTCCTGGTTGCAATGTAGTATGGATGCACAACCAAGGATATTTGCAATGTACTTCGCTCTCTCTCTCTAAATTAACAACATGCTGAGAAGCACATGCATTTCTTACTCTCTCGCTCTGTGTGAGCGGACGTGTGCGTGCACATGCACCTTTGCGTGTGCCTCTGTGTGTGTGTGTGTGTGTGCGCACATGCATGTGCTTGCACACATGCATTTGCACGTGCACATCTTTATGTATGCGTGTAAGCTTCTTTGAACAAAGTGCCTTTTTCTTGTTGGTAAAAAGAAGTAGAATCGTTATTTTTAATGTTAAATGTGCAGTAGCTTTGAAGAACTTCTCTTAATGCAGTTTACAACTTTTAAACTTTGTTCTGTCTTGCAATTTTGCAGTTTGCTGTCTAGAAAGAACTTGCCAGGAAATATTCCTTCCAAAATATCAAAATTGACAGGCCTGGTTGAATTGTGAGTAATATGCTTCTCTTTCTAGCTTTCTTTTGTTGCACTTGTGGTCATATGTCATTTCCTGATACAATGTTGTCATATACTGATTTCAGATGGCTGGATGGCAATTCGCTCAGTGGTTCAATACCTGATTTATCTGATTGTACCAATCTCCGAATCATGTAAATAAATGTTATTTAAGTGAAACTATACCATGACGTATGCAGTATACAAATAATATGCTGCATGTAACATCAACTGTGTTGTTGTCAACAAGAGACGGTTGAGCTGAACCGTTCCTCCCAATCATTGTAGACAATGGTTGAGGCTATATGCAACATATTGCTTGTATGCTATGTGTATCATAGCATGCAATCCCAATAAATGATATATTGGATGTTTAAATGTTTTCCAACATTTTAAAATATGCTATTTATTTTTCTGCAGTCATCTCGAGAACAACCGGTTGACAGGTGCACTACCTTCATTTTTGACAGGCTTACCAAATCTGGCTGAACTGTAAGTTCAAACTTTGAGGTTATAAATTCTGTGTTATTTGGTTGCAGGTCCTCTTAAAACATTGGCTCTGAAGTGTCTTCTTTTTTCTTTTTATTTTTTTATTTTTTTCACTGGAGGATATGACTTCTATGGTTTTTTTTGTTAAAGACTTTTTGTTTTATGGACTATTTTGGTCTTAGAAGGGTGATGACCTTAAAGTTTCCCTTAACCTGTCCCAAGCCCGGTTAAAGGAAGGCAGCGAACGTAAAACTTTGCCAAAACTTTTCAAGAGGCGGATTGGAATTCATGTAGCCGACCCAAATTAGTTGGGAAAAGGCATTAATGATGATGATGAGACTATTGAGCTTTTCACCTTTTCATGAACTGTAATTGTTTCTTCTAAACATTTTTGCAGTGATCCATGGGTTCAGATAATTTCTTGTATGATGATATTTTCAGATATGTACAGAATAATTTGTTATCTGGAAGAGTGCCTCGGGGTCTTCTTGACAAGAAAGTGGTTATCAAGTACGTATTTTCTTCTTTGCCTTTCTAAATAGACGTGCTAAATAATTAAGGGACCATATTCCGATAATATGCTAAATTATATTGATTACTAGAATTACAAGCCCTAAGCAAATGCAAAAAAAGAAATATTGTTGTTATATTGTTGGTGTAGTTACTATATTTTCTTGTTGTTGAAGTTATGTTCAACTTAAAAATTTCTATTCCATTCATACCTGGTATTTTACTGTTCATTAAATAACAGATTTGGTGCTTTTGAGGAATATGAGGGTTAGTGATGCATGGTCTTCATCCAAGTATTAGTTCATGTGGCTTCACTACTAACTATGTAGTTACACGCTTTTAGCAACACCTTATTGAATTGATCTTTTTTCTTTTATTTTTTTATTTTTAATTTCCTTCTTTCCTCTTTGAAATGAATCTGTGTTTTCCATGATAGATAGTATTTGGGGGTTCCCTGGTTAAAACGAATGGAGTACTACTTCCATAGTTTTTTTAGTTGCAGGATATTATGGTAGATTCTGAATAGTTCTGTGCTTCATGGGACACTCAATGCTCATCAACCAAAAATGCCAGCAAGGCATAGATTGCAATTTCAACTACCTCCAAACTCACCATTGTATTGACATTATGATTACATTCTTTATGCTAATGACAAACTGCATTACGTTGTTTTATCCACAAGAATATAGGATGTTTCTACATATATTTCCAAATTCCTGTGGGAGGTACCATCTTATCACACTAAGAAAAGCTCTTAATTGTTGATGAACTAAAGAAGTGACCATGGAACTTCACTGTTCCTGTGTTAGTTCATAGTGCAATTGTGTTTTTGTCTTCTCATCTCTTAGAACCCACTATTGATGCTGATTCTGGATTGCCATCACATCATCCAACTTGAATTGAGATAAAACACAGTAAAGGCTTCTTGTCATTCCTTCTTCCGAAGGCACAACAAATAACATCTAAAAAACAGTGGATGAGTGTACTTAAAATACATCTTACAAGGGTCATATATGAGCTAAAATATGCTACATGTTGACTAAAAATGCTTTTGGAAAATTAATGACTGACATGAGACCCTAAACGATATTGGGGTTTGTAGCCTTTAATAGCTGTGAGAGCATGTAAATAAGAATTATAGTGGGATAATACACTTCAGTGAGGATGCGTGTATTGGTTGACTGACCTATAGTTTGCCAGTCTATGACCTAGTTCATTTCTAAAACCCTTACCCCTGGGCATATGGCACTACCAAAGAGGGTTTTCGATAGTCATCCCTTGTTGATGTTAAAGAAATGCCTAGGGATGTTTTGTAGGCCAAAAGAGCTTTGGGGTCTCCTATGTGCGGATGTACGCTTGTGTGAGTGAGGGCTAAATCCATAAAAAACTTCTGCATGGCATGTACACATGACAACTACATTACTGGGAAGCAACCCTAAAAAGGGATATGTGTACGTGTGCATAGATAAAGTTCCCTTTGCACTATTGTGATATGCGCGTGTATCTTGCTCTTAAGAGGGGGACCTGTAACCCACATTCTGGGGACCGTGGTTCAACTATTTATTGGCCATCTTTGACGAGTCAATCATGAGCCCTTGCATGAGACTGTCGGTCATGGGTCTCGTTGGGTCGGTTTGTGAAGATAGTCGAGGATCATTGTTACTGGGCAGGTGGAGTGCATTAACAACCACTTATCTTGGCAGCTTGGTACCAATCCACTTTCAGATTTATTTTATTTTATTTCTATTTTAGTGCAAGAAATGTTCCTATGAATTTTATGAATGTTTTCAGAATTTTTAAAATTAATTTCAGCAATTAAAACCCTAAAAAGGGCGTTTCTGAAATCCTAGAGCTATGGAGTGGTAGAGTGGAACATTTGGGACCTTCAAATGCAGCCTACATTTGTGCCAAACCCACATGGTTGGGGCGTAGAGCCCATCAGACCCGCACCTCACACATGGAGGTGGCATGCCTCTTTTCTCTTTTCTTTATTTCTTTTATTTTTGTAAAATGTTTTTGGTTTGTAAAAAACAGTGTTCGAATTTCGGCCACCAAGCCGCCTAGGTGGTCAATCGCCTAAAACGCCTAAGCGGAACCTAGGCGGGGCACCTAGGCGGTTTGCGTCTAAGCGGCTGCCTAGGAGGGCATGGCGTCGCCTAGGTGCTACAGTCAAGTCCGCCGCCTAGGCGTCTCCTTGATGCAGGTTGCCGTTGGTTGAAACAGCCCTCGGCTATGGTAAAAATAGCAATCCCCCTCCCCGGTTAAAAAGGAGGGAAAAGGGTTTTGGAGGACATTCTAAACCCCAAAACCAAATCCGTACCATCTAGAGAGAGAAAACTCCCCAAAAACCTCTATTTTGTGATTTATCGAAAGATCGATAAATTTTTGATTTCTTCCGAAATCAAAGGCAATGCTTCGTGGTAGTTTTTGGGGCTCCTAGTGATCAATAGTGAGGACTTTTGATGATCAAATAGACGAGGTTTGGGCCGACATAGTTTTCATATTGATAGTTTTAGAGCATTATGCCATTATGATATTTTAATAAGGGTTTTGATTTTTTTTGATATAACGTATTACGTTTTAGATTCAATTTTTTTTTTTTTAATTTTTTTAATTTTGATATATTTACTATGTTTATTAGTTGTAAAGATTG